TTCGATCCGTCCGTGAAGATGTTTATTGGACCTCTTCTCCAGAGACTACACTTCTCCCATTGGTCCCTTGGAGGGATGTGCGTGGAGAAGTATCCTTTTGGGGCCAGCCTCGGATAACTCCGGTCCATTTCATTAGCCTGGAGGTCGAAGCTTTTGAGAATTGTAGAGTGCCCGTGCGCTGGGTTTAAAGAGAACCCAGAGCTTTTGACCTAATGGCTGAGCGAACCGCCGCTACTTTGCCCGCAATGTCGACAGGGGCGACATTGAGTATGGCGTTTAGCGCTAGAGTAGGAGTGGTCCTCGGCACCCCGCTGATCCAACGAGGGCCGCCCCTTGCACGCGCTCTAGCTTCTTAAATGAGTGGTATTTTCCAGTGAACTCCACCAGACAATGAACCCGTATAACATTATTGGCTTAATAATGGTTTCATATAGCCAGTGCATCACTTTTGAGCAGAGGCCCCATCTCTTCCCCATGGCATTATTGCAGCAGTAGAGATCCACCGATGCCTTCTTTACTCGTTCCTCAATATTTGGTTTCCATGACAACTTCCCGTCCAGGATCAAGCCCAAGAACTTAACCCTGTCGGAGGGAACAAGAGGAACACCCGCTATTGAGGAGAGCTGTACATGGGGCTGGTAAAAAGAACGAGCTCCATCTTTCCAGGATTGACAAGCAAGCTGTGACAGTTCTGTCGTGCATCATATGTGAGATGAGCCTTACTAAGTAGCTCACGACTCCGAGCTTAGCAAGGGGTCTTATTAACCCTCCAGGTAGGACATTATTGAAAGCCCTCTAGATATCAAGGAAGGCCCCTACTACAAAATCTTTATTCTTAAGAGACTCCTCTATGACTTTACCAATTGAGTGCAGAGCAGATTCTACGGATATACCCTTCAGGTAGGCATGTTGAGAGAGGCTAAAACGCTCTCGAGGAATCCCGTTTCTTATGTACATACAAAAATAAATATGTCAATACAAAAATAAAGTATCGACTTTGGGGTTTTATTTTCTTGGGTTGGCTAAAATGATAAAATGATGTCTCAGCTATCGAAATATGTCCAAAACAAGTCCCGACCTTTTACACTTGTTTGTATGAGCAGTGTGAAAGTATTAGTTGACGCAGCGCTCTCCAAAGTAAAAATGCAATGCTAAAATTTAAAAGAACGCCAAAAACCATACGGGCGATCGATTTTAATTTTGTAAAATTGGTTTTTCTTCTACAGGTCAGTTCTATAATAGGTTTAATAATTTTATTTTNCGAAGAAATTCGGGCTATTCCGGCCGAAATGCTCGAAAAAGTTGCCCAAAATTGGACTTTCCGAATGGACCACCTAAGACGCAGCCGCGGTCAACATTTAAATGAAATTATCTTCAAAAAGTAAATGTCATGGACCAATCTAACGTTTCAAATAAAGAACCGATGAGATTTTGCAAATTTTATGCGTTTTTTTTTAAAAAAAAAGTTATCAAGCTCTTAAAAAATCACCCGTTACTAAATATTGAATCCGACCGTGTCCGACCTGTTGTGTAAAACGCGATTTTGTACCATATAATATTGAAAATTTTTCTGAAAATGATTTTTAAAATTAACTTTTTTTCAACCAGTTTTGTGTAAGATACACGTTTTCTGTACGAATTTTAAATATATACTTAAAAAAAAAATATATATATATATATATATAACTCAGTTTTACGTGAATTTAATAAATATTTTTCCAATTCAACACATCTCTTTTAATTTCAGGCGCCATATTTGATCGGCCATTTTGTGTTTAGTTATTTTGATTTCAGATTCGAATTTAGCGACCCCAATAACTATTAAATAATATAAACATAAGCCATTCTTATTATTATTTCTAACCAAATTATTGTGTAAAGATTTTAGGCGCCATATTGGATCGACCATTTTGGATTTTATATTTTAATTTCAGTTTCAAATTCAGCGACCTCAAAACCCCTGGAAACTTGAATTCATCTGAATATACTAATTTTTTAAATTATGGGCACAAAATGGGTATCAAATACCACTTGTTCTGTTCTCCATCCTCGATCTGGAATTTCGATTTAAAAATGTCTGCCGAAAATTTTTCAACAATAATTCAAAACGCCCGAATCTTTCCAACCCTAGTGCTTTACCATAAATACTTTTCTCGTCGCTTGTTCGCGTGAAGAGCGCCATCAGATATTTGTATTTGCACTTCTCTCAAGGTACTGCGGCTTGATGAAAAATGGAAAGAGTAGTCCACCCCAGAATCGCAACTAGGGAATCTAAACATCGTAGAAGTTAAAAATCTACTTGTCCAAAATAACACTGGCTTGTCAGGGAAATTTAGTCTGCGTGGATAGGCTCCCTGAAACACCAGCCTCCCCTTCACTATTCTTCGAGTCTACGTCAATAAACCTTCAAGATTTAGAGACATATCGAAGAAAATTATTTCAACTACGACTATGACTAGTAAAATAAAGCTTTATTACATTCGATGACGACAGCTTCGAAACTACATACATTTCGTGACCTAAGGCCATTATTATTTCCTATTAAATATTTCACTGACCCGCTTCACTCTGTGTACGGCGGCAATTCATCGTTACGTTTCTGTGAGATTGCTCCTTTTTCATGCTCCGCACTATCCAAGCTGTCACTTAGACGCCGCAAGTCGCCTCTCCGCGGTTTAAATTCCTCGCCGCCCAGTGTGATGCTAGGTGGTATCTTTTTACCTCTAAACTTTATAGAATCGAAAGCTGGTGGAGGCGTTGCATGTTCAGGTGAGTTATCACGCGTGGACGTATGCCAAACAGCAATACGTTTCTTTGATTTCTTTTTCGGTACTAACTGCTTGAGTGACGTTGCTGATGTAGCTGGCTTTACTTTTGTGATTTCGTTGAAACGACTTAGTGAGCGGTACTTTCGTTGGAAGTAGATAATCTCCAGCACCAAAGCGACCATAGCTAAGCCTAAACCGAATAGTGTGGCTATAAATACACCACCCAAACTTTCAAGTGAGATGCCTTCTTCCTCTTTGTTTACGGAACAGGCTTTAATGCGTGACATATTCCAATATTTGGCTTTGAGTTCTTCGAAGTAGCGATCCTTTTGAAGTTCCAGTAGCGCATAGCTCAATTTATCCTTGAAGAAAAGGATTTTTAGTTTTTTTTTACTTGAACGAAAATCTCACAAAACTTACCGCAAAATGAGATCCTTGTTGAATCGCAATGGCATAGGGTTGTTCAGCGAATACTTCGCCAACTTCGGTCAGATTGCAGTTACGGGTCAACTCATATTTTATTTCGGAGGAGTCGTGTATGAATGCGAAGTCGGCGTTCTCGTGTTCGTTGACCTTGCGAAATCCCTCCTTGGCATCTTTACGGGTTCGGAACTATTTATAGCGAGTAATATGGTGCCGTACTGCTCTCTGATGGGATAATCCCAAACTCTGAAAGCATGCAAACAAAGAGGATTAAATAGAGTGTTTTGTAAGATAAATAGTAAGTTGTTTAGAAATTTGTAAGTTCAGCAAAAATGCAAATAACTGATGGCATTCGATGTGGCGCAGAACTGGTAATGTAACTATATATTAGCCAGCTTGACCGCTAAACTGTAAAGTAATTAAATTAAGATAAGCAATATTTCCTAGATTTAACCTGTATTTCTGATAATCCTCAGTTACATTCATCGTCAATTCCTTCCACATGCGATATAGCGTGTCTTCAGCAAATTTCATATTTATAAAGTATTGATGTGTACTTGATCCTTCCACAACAGTGTAGTTTATGCGAGATTGACGCGCCAACTGCTGTAAAGACTGCACAGGTGTCTGCATGCGTTCCACGGTAAGAAAGGCAGCTAAGTTCGCCGTGAAAGTGGCCAGCATCAAAACCACAAATAGCCAATAACCTGCAACCATTATGCGACCAGATACCGCTTTAGGAGGTTCACCACCGCCTTGCGGCGTGAATGAAGTCAGAGCAAACCAGAAACTCTCACGAAGTGTGAATTCCCTGAAATACATAAATTATGATAAACAGCGTCTTTAGAATTTCATGTGACGATTATCATTCCTACCTGCAAGGGTATGGATATGCCTCACGATTATTTCTATAACTATATGGTGAATACTTATCTAGCAGCCAAATCAGTATGGCACTTCCCACCAGCGCTGCAATTATGCTGAACCACACTTCCACCCGTAGAACGGTCATGAATTTGAATAGCGATGTCTGTCGCACCGGCTTTCGCATAACTATAGAAATGCCTGTTTGCTCAAAGTACGGAGCTATATAATCAATAACTTCTTCACGTTCCGAGTACATTTTTAATGCAGCGACGGCAAAATCCGTCTCACCAATAGCCAAATCGCCGATAATGCCATCCCATTGTTCGGTTTCGGCATTGCGCCGTCCAAATTCACCCGAAGTAGGTGGTACGAGTATGTAACCGAAGTTTAGACGCTTCGACAAGGTTTTAATAAAATCAATGCAGAAACCCTCCCAAATCGGATTACCATAAGCGTCGAGTACTAGTTCATCGGTAACTGGATCGCGCTTCAAATAGTTCCAGGGTATGGCCTGTGGAAAAGGAATTCAGAATTAGCTGTAATTTCATATGTACATCTTAGCTCTTAATTAGGCGCATTGGGACAATCATATAACTACTTAATCACAAGGTCCTCAGTGTCTCCGAGAGTATAGACTCTTATATAAGCGAATTGTTGCAAGTGTTTGATAAAACATTCCTGGCTAATCGTAAGCCAATTTGCCTACGATGGGCCTAATTAAATGCTAAAGTTTTTTGTACATACCTCCACCGTGCCAATGCGAAAGAAACGTCTCGGTGGACTAAGCGTCTTATTAATTTTGCGTAAATCACCATTTTCCCAAATGGCTAAATCGGTTGCCGCTTCGTGCTCGCGCGAGTAAAGACTTATATTTATTGTTGGTGAGTAAGTAAGGCGTGGCACGAGATCGAGGTCCTCTTCCGGAAAGGTGGCATCGGTGGTCAAATGTAAAAATTCATTCAAAAGGAATTGATCCAATATGTTAAATCCCGTATGTGTATCTTCGTTGGGGCTCGTGTTGTTACATTGCATTACGAAAGATTGTAACCAATTAATATTTATTTGTTTAATTTCAATTAAGCTGCGTAGTATTTCCAAAATCATTGCGCGTTGGAACTAAACCATGAAATGTGAGGAAAGGTTCAAATAAATATTGAACTGTATTAAAAATGTATATTTCCTAACGAAAGCAGCTCTAAGGAGCCACCATTACTTACGGTAAATCCGTTAAGGCAGTAAGCATCTCTCATGCGCAGTGCGCGGCATAAAGTCTTCGGATTGATTGTAAATTTGGTCGCATAATTCACTGACTTCCTAAATTTGAAGACACGATCACGCGGATCCAAATACACGAAATGCCACTCGCGAGGTCGTTCGAAGAGTTTGCCCTCATATATCTTGAAAAATGAAAGTTTTCAAAAATCGAAACCGAATACATACATTTGCTGCTGTACCTTTTCAAAAATGCTGCTCATCGCCGTTCCACTCGCAAAGATTGCATAGCAGGAGGGTGTTGGTCGCAATTGCCGCATTCGTTTCACGAAATCGCGCTGATCGTATGCATTTAGCACCAAAGCGCGAAAATGATAACCTTCGATGATTTGTATTATAGCCTCTTCGGTATCCTAAACAATAACAAACAAATGTATGTTTTAAATTTTTTATGAAAACCATAAAATTTAATGCAATGCCCATACTCTGGCATTCTGGAAGATCAGGATACATTCGTGCCAGGATTTTTGCTCTATAAATTGTGAAAACATTTTTAAATATGGCGCCATGATGCGATCTACTCGCAAAAAAGGGATTTGATATGATTTCAGCAACTCCAATCCATCTCGCCATGGGTGATAAGTAAAATCGAGAACCACAGAGACACCATCGCTAGCGAGAATTTCACAAACTGCAAAAAATAAAGTGCTGTAGTTAAGTAATGTTGTCGAACAGAAATGAGGTTGAGAACATTTTTGGTCCAGATAAAAATGTATCATACACTGGGTTACTTGGAATAGTAGAAATAAATAACAGTAATTTGGTGGCACTTTTGGTGGTCCTTCTACAGCTTTGTTTGTTCAACTGTTCAAAGAAATGCCATGCCAGTTAATGTGGCTTCCTATATCTCTGCTATCGCGATGAACGGCCTAGCCATTCGCACTGGGAGCCGTGTCGTTGTTGTTGTAGCGGCTACAACAACTGCGCCCAGATCGGCTAGTCTCTCAGTCGTTGTCGTGAAGCTCAGCTAATGGGAGACTTAAGAAGCATGCAGCTTCTATAGGATCCGTCCATAGGGTCCGTCCATAGGGACAGAGGCGTCAGTTGAGTGGGGTTTTGTGTGCATGCGAAGATATGTTTCGAGTCGTGGGGTGTCTCTCCGCATGCCGGGCACTCATTGGGCACATCTGCATCTACTCTGCTTAGGTTCGAGTTCAACCTGCTGCAGTAGCCAGAGCGAAGTTTGCTTATTGTGGTCCGAGTCTTCCGAAGCATACGAAGCTCCGTCTCGTCCACGTCTGGTAGCTGTGTAACAAGAACGGCATTCACAGGCCTTTCGGTTGCTTTATGAAGCCTTGGCAAAGGCGCTCTGCAAGAAAGTATCTGTTCGGAACTATTTCCTGATATTGTGGAAATGGGTTTCGAAAATATGGAATTTTTTATATTATTGTACACCCTTGAAGGACCGGACTAGATTTTGACATATCCTATCAATATCAATACAGCATACTAGCTAGAGCACAATGTTTATTTTTTTCCTTTATTACAAGGTCGAAATTTTTAGAAGAGTGGCTTAAGTTCGATAAATGTGATAGAAATATTAACCTCTATAGGTTTCCTAAGCTACACGATGTTACTAAAGCTACTGAACTAGTTATGAAGAAAAAATTGTTCTATAACTCGTCGAAAATCGCTAGTTGTTTTAACGAAATCGGTTTAACAAATGTATAAATTTCTTAGAAATATACTTATAAGGAAAAGTGTTCCAGGGAATCGTATGCTCCCGTGGGGTACGAGTATCGAGCAATCCTGACTTTTATATCCTCCTATTTTAAAGTCTTTGGAAAATCATTTGAAGGACTTTGAATTGGGACACTAACATATCGTCGCTTGCAATACCACGTATGAGGTGGCAAATTTATTTTGGTTACCCTGTCTTATTGCTTCCCTACTTCACAAAATCCAATAGTATACATACATACATTTCGCACACCGTCTTCAAAAGAGGGACAACTAAAAAAATAATTTGCTAGATTTTTTTGCATAAATCAATTCGTAGGATTTTTCTGAAATTAATGCAAATATTTTTTGCTTCGTGAATATATTCTCTAACTAGAAAACTAATAACTAAGCACTTATACTATTTCGCCGATCTAATTTTTGAGTTCTATGAATTATGAATTGGAAAATCTACCACATCTTACTCAAATCTACCAAATTTTTTTGTCGATTCTACCACACAAAAATAAAAAAGAGTTTGCACACTGCTTACAAATAAAATAATGGCAGGAATTTCGAAATTTCAACCGTGTTTGTGTGAAATATTTTATTTTTATCAGTACTTATTTTTCTTTTAACCAATCTATGTTGAAATAAAAGTGAAAATAAAAAAATATTTTGTCAGATAAAACCGATGGTATATCGGATATCAGCACCCTAAGTGTACTTTAAAAATATCCAAAAATAATTGTGTCCACCTAGCTTGTTCTGCAGGGCGCACTGTGCATCGATGTAGGTAAACAACTAACTTCCCTTATTTACTTATGGATTAAAACCGGTGGCTGCTTAAATTATATTGTCGTTGCCCCTAATTGTATTTTATCTGGGAGATTTTGTAGGCTATTCTTTGGCAGACGGGGGTCCTTTAGGTGTCAAAGTTTCAAGCTGTTGTAATTTAATTCTATTTCGCTTTATTTTATCTTATTTTTGTTGTTTATATATATATATTTTTTAATTTTGTAAAAATTTCTTAGCCGTTAAATTTGTAAAGCTTTTTTTTCTATTTGTATACCTACATCTTTCCATATTCTCCTCGTTCTTTTTCTTTTCATTTTCAATAATAACAATTGAGTACTGAATTTTAGTTTCTAAACGCAAATCAGCAATTTCTTTCACTGCATCTATAATATCCGCATCAATTCCGCTTTGCAGGGGATCAATCCAAAATGCTAGAGAAAAGAAAATAAGTAGGATTTATCGATATTTTCCTTTCCTTGGAATATTCGCTGTTTGTACCAATTTTCAATTCATTTGCTACAACAAAGCTGAAAAGTGTTAAAATTGCAAGATTTTGCATAAGCCACATCGCGTCGAATTTGGAAAAACATCCATACACTGCGCGCCTTAGGAAAGTACTGTTACGAATGGATTTTTAGAACTGTGTCATAAGTAATTTTAAAGAAATTGAAGCATCAAAATTGCAACGGGTGACAAGTCAAGGCTAACATTTAAATTGCATAATAGTTTTAAGTAATTTGCAGTGATTTGCGCGCTTACAAACAGGTGACACTTTTAAATTATTAAAGCTCCTGCGGCACAAGTGCCTGCAAGTAAGAATAATGGTGGTTAGAGTGTTTCAAGAACAAAATTATAAAATGCCTGCACTTGGCATACAAACGATACTTGTTTTCTATTTTTATCTATAATTCCAAATGTGGCTAATCGATTATTGTCGACTTAAATTGCTACAACGATTGTCAACGAATACATATTTACTTTCCTTCCTTGTTGGACAGAAGTTAGGATAAGGCTTTGATTATTCAAACGAGTACAGCACTTAAACCATCATAAAAAATATGTGAATTGAAAGATATTCACTCAGGATTCTTCTAGCCAACTATCTGTGAGTTTTTCATATGGAGTGTAATGTACCCACATTTCTTGCTTTTTCATCCTTAAATTTCCAAGAAATTCCGTTTTCCGTTCTATCCAAGACTATTATCTGTCGTACTTATACGCCGAGTGGTTAGAGTTACGTTCTTCGATTCATAGTACGAGCAACATCCCAAAAAATGTCTTGCCTAATAGCAGCACTTCTTCTACCATAAAAACACTGCCTATAAAAGTAATTTATTTGCCTTCCGGAGTTGGGTTAAAACTGCAGGTCTCTCCATTTGTTTAATAACATCAATACGAAAACCATAAATTGAAGGAGATTAAATGCCAAACAATTAACAAAAGCGTAAGTGTCAAATATTTTATTTTTTTTTAAGTAGAGTGTCCTCACTATGCCCGAAAAGACTGTCACAGTTTATCTTTGCCTTATCGTTAAATAGATTCTGCAGTGCTTTCCTCGTTGAGCCATTAGAAAAATTGGGACATATACAATGATAATAATAATAGATTGGCGCTTACACATATGTTAGTGTTTGGCCGAGCTTCTCCTCCGACTTGTGGCGTGCGCCTTGATGTTGTCACACAAAGCGGAGGGACCTACATTTTTACGCCGACGCCAACCCAGGATTGTTCAATCGCCTAGGCCCTGGGTCATCCTCTCTCTCAACATAGTTGAAGATGCTTTGTAGGACAATTGAAGACAGTACTTAGGCAAAATAGCTTGAAGGATTTTGTTTATTCTGGTCTTAAAAAAAAAAACTACCTTTCCAACTTCCATGGTGAAAAGCTCTTTTGAAAAGCGCTTTTTTATCATTTTTCTCCATCTCATCCAACAGACGCAATGGCCGAGTGAGCAAAGCCNTCGAGATTTCCGACGTTCGAGGCTCGGGCAGCGGATTTTTTTAATATATATCCCTTTTTTGTTTTAAAAAGAAAAATATAGGTACATCTTTTTTAATTTCATGTAGTTTTTAGATACTTATTTTATTTTTATATTTTGATTTACTTTTCCTTTTTTATTTAATGTTTAGGTTTTATTGATTTAAATTTTTTTTTTTAATTTTTTTAATTTTTTTTCTTTTTATAATTTTTTTATACTTTATTATTTTTTTTAAATTTTTATATTATATTAAAAAAAAAATAAATTTTTTAAATTTCATTCAACAATATTTATTGTTATCGAGCCTAAGGCCGTTTGTACTGAAAAAATGTTGGGAAAAAACCACAATAATTTACATAAGGTAGAAGTTATAGCTGCTATTTTGGAAAGCGCAACATCTCCTCATCGAGTTCA